AGGAAGAAGCAAGATGCGTGAAGATAATAATTTCTAAATAGGAAACCAATTTTCTTAACAAATTTCGATGTTTTACAGTATGTGATATTGTGCTCCTTTTGAACATACGACGTTTGGAAACTAAGGAAAGGGTTCTGCTAATCATGTGCCATTGTGGTTCCCTGCCTGTTGGATGGGTTTTTACAGCTCTTTTTAGAGGCAAAACCGCCGAGCATTGTTATGGTGAAGCACAGAGGCAATCCCGACACATTAAATTCTACATATTCTTTACAACTAAACACTCCTTGCTCTTTGTAAATGTGAAAGATATGCGCATACTAGGATTCATAAGATGATAATAATTAGACACTATGATGATATAATTAGATATATTATATACCCGTGAATATTCCAGGTTAGAATTTGTCTTCAGCAGCCCATGCTCATCGTAAGAGGCGACTAACGTGATCGGGTTGTCAGACTTGATGACTTGGTTGATGCGTGTCATCGTATCACAGTTGCGTGGATCGGTGCTCATGGTGCCAATCACTGGAATTTCTGGCCCAGACTCAGTTATGTACAGACCACCGTCGACCCGTGAAGCTCTGGGGTAGAATAGCTCTTCAGCAACCCATGTTTGCCCTAAAAGGCGACTTTGCTTGTCGTAGGAGGCGACTAACGGTATCGGGTGGTCAGGCTCGCTGACTTGGTTGAAGCATGTCATCGATCCCAATTGCGTGGATCGATGCTCATGATATCAACCACTGGAATGTCTGGTCCAGACTCGATTATTTACAGACCGCCGTCATATAGCTGACATATATCTGAGTGTGGAGTTAAACAACAAACAAACAGACCACCGCAATAATTTTATAGGCGAAAAACAAACAAACAAACAATATCGCAATACGAACTGTCTGTTAAGGCAGGTTTAATTTCAGAAATATTCTCATGCACAAGTATTTGCATATTCTACCAGATGTTTCTACTGGAGTGAATATAATCATACATGTACTTATGTCCTGTTGAAGTTGAGCAAACTTACACCTACAGGAAGTCCTTCATTCTCAGCTTTGTTTACCAGCTTATTAATGGCCATTTACGCCCGTCATTAATTTGGTTATAAATAGATATTAATCCAACATGACAATAATAATTGTATTCACTTTATCATAAAACAAATTGTCAGACAAAAGTATTATAGGTGCAACCGAGTTAACATCATACAATAACAATATGATTTTTTTTATTCAAAATATTTTCATTCAAAACTTTATTTTATGTTCAAAGTAGGAATAGAACAATGCACGGTTTAAAACAATATTCAAGTTAATTATAGTAACAGGGTTCATAAGTTTTCGTAAAAGTGTTAATAGTAAAGAAATAATTTATGTTACTAGGAACATATTGAACACACCTTAGGCGAAAGGTTTAATAGTGAAGATATAGTTCAGGTAAACAGTGAAGGATTTGTTCCACGTCTGTTAACAATTATTGCAAACTATACGCATGGTCGCAAGGGTAACCCAATCGTCTGAGGTACCGCAATTCGCTATGTAGAGCTCGTTCCCTGTCAGAACGTATGGTCGTGGGATCGAATCCCGGTTCGCCCTGATTATGTTTCTGTGTTTTTAAATACCATACACAACCCCGCATATGGCTGGACTTACACACATACCTCCAAAAGCTAGCAAACTGTGATATAACTGAAATACTGCTCAAAGCGGCGTTAAACCAAACTCATTAACTTACTAAGTACTTAAGTTAAAATGTAAAACATATAAATTAAATATACACAGAGGCAGGCGTGTACCTAGCCTAATGTGTTGCTCTCTTCACAAAAAGGGGGCAGCCTGGATAGGAGTTGGCTCGTCACGCCAAAGACCCTATTTCCCACATAGGTTCTACCCGTGAAGATCCGGGGTAGAATAGGTCTTCAGCTACCCATGCTTGCCATAAAAGGCGACTATGCTTGTCGTAAGAGGCGACTAACGGGATCGGGGGTTGTCAGGCTCGCTGATTTGGTTGATACATGTCATCGTATCCCAATTGCGTGGATCGATGCTCATGATGTCAATCAGTGGATTGTCTGGTCCAGACTCGATTATTTACAGACCGCCGTCATATAGCTGGAATATTGCTATCAGTTGATTGTCTGGTGTAGACTATCATTTACAGACCGCCGTCATATAGCCATCTTCCCGAGGCAAGAGAGTTAACTGACTATAAAAGTCCAGTTTTCATCCTTGCCGAACTAGGCTGGTATTATCGAGTTACATTTTGGCTGGACTAACGAGTCCATGCATAGTCCAATCAAAATCGCGCAACGAAATCAAAATCCGGTTCGTAAACTGTCGTGCAGATTTCGATCGATTGCAGGATTTGCAAAGCATGTGAACCGCCAACTCGTCAGCAGATATTTTCCAAATCTTTTCATGTTTTTAATCAAGGTGCTCACGCATTTTGATGCATTTCCCGTTTTATCACAATATAGATCTTGATTGTAGATCAGATCGTCCTGCCTGGGCGCCACCATTTTGTGTGAAGCAAACGCAAGTGATACGAGAGGTGGAATCTGATTGGTCCATAGGAGAGGCTTAGCAGGGACATAACTGGTAATAGCCACTGGTGGCGCTACGATAGACCCCAGTAATTCCAGCCTAGTTCAGCAAGGGTGGAAACTGGACTTTTAAAGTCACTTAACTTTCTTGCCTCGGGAAGATGTCATATAGCTGGAATATTGCTGAGTGCGGCGTTAAACAACAAACAAAACAAAACAAAAAATCCACATGGTTCAATGTGTGAAGCCCATTTCTAGGTTTCGTACTGTCAATACCACATTGATCCAGTATTTTATAATTACTGAGTATTTCAGTTTGTATACCCGATAACGTGATATCAGAACACACCTTACTTAATTTGAAAGTGTCCAAGCTTCAGTTTTCTCTCCAGTCAAAACATAGTGCCGTTTTCGCCAAACAACGTGTCATTTAAGAGGTGGTTGTTACGATTTAGCACTGCAGAAATTCTGTGCATTTTCGTTTTTGGTCCAGAATTCTTGTTTTTACATAATCTAACCTGTCTGTGATGTCATATATTGCAGTAGAGGTTATACGTGGCCATTATATGACCTGTTGGTGAGGTTATATGGCAATATAGGTTCTACGTGGCCACCTGTTTGTGGTCTTATATATGGCAGTAGAGGTCAGACGTGGCCACCTGTTCGTGAGGTTATATGGCAGTAGAGGTCCTACGTGGCCACCTGTTTGTGAGGTTATATAGTGTGGTTGAGGTCATACGTGGTATCGCTAAGATCGCTTTGAGGATCGGGGCCCAGTTCTCATTCGACCAAGGTCTATGAAATCCCTGACAATTCAAGTAACTCGAATCATGACATTTCATACCACGTGGATAAACATATGTCGATGTTCAGTAATTGTGGTAAATATGACATGGCGATTATGTAGGTGTTGGTATATAATTTCAGATATAGACTCTAGAAGAAGCAAGTTCGAGATTGTAGAAAGTCAAATGTTTCCAATTGACATAGGTGCCAAGAGAACCACGCTGGTACATCTGTACATGATGCCACATATACAACGAGAAGACGTCTTCACAGGGAATACCTTATAGAGGCGTCCCCCAAGGCATCGTCGTTTTCAATTCAACGCTACTTTGACCAATATTTCTGTGAGTGATTAGAGTTATTCGCAATACCTCAGGGGGCTTCACACGTGGTGAATCAAACCCAGGCCTTCGGTGTGACGAGCGAACGCTTTAACCACGAAGCTGTCCCACCGACCCAATATTTCGGTAGTGTCAGCTTCATGTTAGAGAGGAAATCCTAGGTGACACCGGTCGTTTAGTGTATACGTTACCACTTCGTAGAACACCAGGAGCATGGGTTAGTACTGACAGACCAATGATCAAAGGATTTGAACTCAAGAACTGCGGATCCTGACACCTGAGGAATCAAACTCGAACAGCCAGCGAGTCCGACTACCGTGTTTTCGGATTCAGTTCACACCAATATTCGACTCATTCTATAGGTGTAAACAATTGTAAATAAATGCGACAAAACACAGTTCCATAATCATAAGAAGTGCCTACTAATCGCAGAGTCCATTGCACGATCCTGATTATATAAGAACACTGACCACAAGCGCCTCGCAAACTGAAATTCATAACAAAAAATATATTCAGTTATATGAGGCCCGTGAAAATCCGGATCAGAATAGGTCTTCAGCAACCCATGTTTGTCGTAAGAGGCGACTAACGGGGTCAGGTGGTCAGGCTCGCTGACTTGGTTGATGCATGTCATTGTATCCCAATTGCGTGGATCGATGCTCATGATGTAAATCAGTGGATTGTCTGGTTCAGACTCGATTATTTACAGACCACCGTCATATAGCTGGAATATTGCTGAGTGCGGCGTTAAACAACAAACAAAGTTATATGTATATTGTTCTTGTAACTTCAACATGACAGGCTTGTGAGCTTATCACATCATAGATAATTACAACAGTTATTTAACATTTAACTTTGCCTGACATAATCGGATCCGATTGTAGAGAAATGATATAAACAAGAATTAACAAAGGTTTGTTGTGCACCCTGCTATTTCCGTCAAGTGAAAATGGTTACCAGGTGTACGTAAATATACAACGCCAGAGAATAACCAACTTCGATTATCCGACGAAACAGATCCAAATTGGCATAACAGGCAAAATAGTGAAGATTATATGAACGGATAAATGAAAGCCAGTTATGACACCAGGTGTTCGTTAAAAGAGTTAACATGTCCTTCCCTGCGGATAGCACCTGCCACTCAAACAATTTGCATTAAAAAAAAGGTGTTTGTTCCTGACGCCGTACAGCAATACTCCTGCCACGCGACGGCGGCGTGTAAACAAGAGATCGATGAACCAGAAAATCCGGTGACACTATGGCGTTTCAACTGATTGCGTTGAAACAAAATGTGATCCTTGATAGAGTCATAAGTAAAGACAAACAATATCAAATAATTCTTTAACATTTTATTTCGTAAGCTTCGACAGCAAAATACGAATCAAAATAAATTAGCAAAGTTTGCAAGGAATATTTACACTTCGAAGACCTGGTAACTACACACTTAAAGTATTAGATATGATTAATGCAAACCAGTGGGGGCACTTCATGTAAGTGTTTAAATAAATGCAAATGCAGTAGAGACGTGTGACAGAAATCAACAAACATATTTCCTTCTGGGAAACAGTTCCGTTCAATAAATACAAATTCAACACTAACAGTCCTTGTAGAAAGCAAACTCGGGAACTGCTGGGTGTGTCCATTTGGTAGATCTCTGCTGGCGATCTGGCACTATCACCGACCTTCACTTCGGCCTCTGTTGGTATGTTGACAACCACGTCACTTCCTGTTCACTAGCGTGACGATACCAAGTGGCATTTAGGTCGAAGGCGATCGAGCGGCGGTAACAGCGATGTTTGCTCCGTCGATGTTAGCCGTTTGCATGGGCTATCAATCACAAGTTGTCGCATACAGGATGCCAACTTGAACCGACGATCTGAGGTTTTTTTATATGTTCAAAGTGGGTGTTTTCATGATGCTGGCACGTGACTGAAACCAGGGCGCATGGGAGTCACGTGTAGTGGATACAGGCCTACTGAGGCGCCCGGATGTTGAGTTGGGTAGGGTGAAAAGCTGGAACGCATCAGTGGATACGGCAGCATTCGTGAGAAGCAAATCGGCGTACGTGCACACAGTCCGAATGAATTACTGAGCGAAGTCACACTGCATAAGTCCTCGGAAGTTTTCGATTTGCTCTCCGTCCGACTTGAGGTGCACTTTGCAGGCGTTGAATTGTCTCTCTCTCGCTTGCTCACCGTCGCTGTCTCGCTACTTTTAGTCCGGGAACTAGACACCGGTGTATTTTCTTCAGAATCCGATTCACACTTTTCCAACCGTCTTTTCTTTTCAGGTGTTTCGTCATCGTCCGATTCCTGTCGTTTGTCCTCAACTGAAGAGAAGAAAATGTAACTGTCAACATTTATAGTAGACAGTGCGAGTGCCTGTTGCGTAGGGGTCACCCGACTCGTGACATTTACAGCTGTTTTGAGCATCAATTGATGATAGGAGTGTGACACAAATGGGACAAAATATATAATTAAAGTTGCGTTAAGATCAATGCGAATCCCGCACTACATTCATTTATCGCTCTTTAAAAACGCGTAAAATGCCTAACAGTCATGAGTGTGATCATAACTTTTATTATGATAAAGGGATCATTGAATTTGGTTCTCGTCCTTACATTTACATAATGTATTTAGCTGGAATATTGCTGAGTGCGGCGATAAACAACAAACAAACATGTATTTATTTGTTGCCTTTCGTCTCATCATTGCACATCTAACCCTGAGTTAAGAGGACCATTTCCTGATCAAATTCTAGTGTACACTATTCTGCGTTTTTCTCATTTTGCTTTGCGTGCACTACGTGTACTTAAAATGATAAATAAACCTGTATAATTATCGCGGTGCAACATCACGTCTTCTGTCCAGTCTCACGCGAGCTTACATCCGGAGCGAGTGACGATAGCTTTGTGGCCACCTCTCGCCCAAGCATTTATTTACAAAACCTTGCAATCACAATAGCAATATGCTTCTCAGTTTGAATTATTTATAACCTTTACGATCAAATCATTTGGCTAAACATTTGGATCTTTTCACAGCGCTAATCTGCCCTGTGTTTGTGAGCTGTAGCACCTGCTGGTATGATTGCGGTGTCGTCTTCATCTCCCGGGGGCTCTTTTCAGCTCTCTAACTGACAACCACATTATTCTGACCTTAACCACCCCACGGCCCCAACTTTTTATTTCTTTGTAATTACTAGTTGTCCGCCATATGTGATGCTCTATCCACAACTACAAGCTATCAACATCGAGCTTTCTGTGAAGTTTTAGGCGGCTCATGTTTTTATTTTTTTGCTAGTCACATCATCTAAAATTTCAACAAGTAATTTTATGAATTTATATCTATTTTCTCTTGAGCCTCAATAATGATATTTGCGTTAATATAACCTGTTCTCTGTCATAGTTTATGTAGTGCCGGTTGACAGTTTTACACATTTTATGACATTTGTTTAAACATTTCATACATTTGTTCAGTATTGGTAAAAATAGTAAAATTAGAGACGTGTAGATGGGATGTAAACTATTAATGTTGTATTAAAATTATAACTTTACTTGTCTGTTTTGATAAGCAAACAGATACGTAATGATGTATTTGATTTTGAATGTTCTGAATTGCATGTTGATAACATAGGTATATTTAATTCATCTGGCTCTTCATCCCAACCACCTGAATACATATGGTATATAAACGTATATAACACACAAACTGAACTGTCAATGATATATGAATATATATAACGTCAACGCCAGATATTAACCGGTCTCGATTATCTGCCGAAACAAATTCCATTGTGCGTTAAAGGCAAAATAGCAGTGAAAATGTATGAATGGATCACTGAAAATTAATTATGACACCAGGCGTTCAAGAAATGTGTGAGCATGTCTCACACATTTGTATATTAAAGTATGTTGAAGTTATTTGCATATTATGTAGTAAATAATATCGAATGTTGGTATCAATCTAAACATCCCGAAATGGAATAACATGTATTTTCTGTGTTTACCTTTGTTAAAGAGGCGTTAAGTTTGGGATTTTATTGTCTCATATACAAATATAAACAACAAACTGGAATTCATGACTAAACATACTGTTATTATATATATTTGTCTAATGTTAATTTTCTACCATCAATGCTCTTGTTATAATAATAAATAAAACAAAATATGCTATTTCTTGTGAAAGTAGCACCCATCTGCTTCTTATATTCTACTGTGATTGTTTTCATTTTTTTCTAATTAGACACTAAAATCTAATGAGATTGCGTCACAAACTATCATAAATTGCGTTTGCCTGACTTGATCACGGCAGCAGTGTCTAGGCATGGTGCTGTGCACAATGAACCGTGATCCCTTTCGTTTCTTTTCTTGCGCATATGAAGTATTTTATTTCATTTTTTACCATAGAATGTGTGTGAATAATAAACGAAATTACTATTTCAATTTTGAAATTTCTTTTGGGGTCATTTTCTCCTTATGGATTCTTTATAAATTTCTTGAATTTATTTGACATGCCACAAACCCCTTTAATTCAAGAAACGTATGAACAATCGATGTCGCTAATTAAGATTGCTACAGGTTCACTAATTAGTTGTTTTAATTCAATCACGAACCCAGGGTATTTGAATGAAACAAGCCATTCAGGTCCGACCTCTACAAATCATTTGTGACCAGTCAATAGAGGGGGTGTTAGCCATTGAGGGGAATTCATCACGGCTGAATATCAGTATAAAGATTCCTTCATTAATTGGCTAATTAATCCCAGATTTACCCAGCGCTGTTACAGCTCAACAGGGCAATATTAGGGGTTCGTCAGAGCATGTCACAAAGCTTTAAATATTCATAAGCAATTTGATAAAAATCAGGTAAAAATACCCTATTGTTTTCTAGTCATTGAGAAAAGACCGTTTTCAGGTGCGATATAGATTAATTTTAGGCGAAGGGGAGGGTGGACTTTAAAAAAGTCATGGTTTTACCATCTGCTTGTATCAATAACAACTTAAAGCTTTTTCGACATTTCTAAAGAACGTTTGTTTACGATCGCTCTGACAAAAAGAAGCGGGTGATAGGTCGTGTGTGAGACAAGGGTTGGATTTATGATCTGGCTATATTCAGGACGAACTGCCCGGTGGTATAATGTTTAACACTGACGGGCATCAGTACAATGACAGCCAACAAGTATCCATTGAAAACTGTTTCTCGGTGTTCGCCAAAGGAACATGTACTGTTATGATTTATTCATATTTGGAAACAATTCCTTCCCGGGCTGAATTAGGGTGGTGGAGGGCGGCTTTCTTCTTCCGTCTCTTTCTTTAATATATTTCTCTTTTGAGGGGAACAACATGTTTTTTGGCGTCTTGTAAGATCTTTAGGATCCCCTGCATCCTAATTCGACAATATGGTCAACAATCTGCTAACCCCAGCACGTAAGTCTGGAGAGGCTCTACCCGCTACTTCTCCCATATGCCGCGGCTTCGTTCGCTAGGATTTCACTTAAAGCAATGAGGCGTTTTATTTCAATTAAGGCGTATGCTTCGTGTCAAACTAATAAGTAAATTAGCCTTAAGTCTATTAATTTCTAATAATGTAATGAAATACTAGCTTGATGGATCGGGACCGTTTTGATTGATCACTTAGTTTTGTCGTAGAAATGATTTGATGTTATCGCCCTTTCGTTTAAAGAGTCTTTTGTGTGTAGCTTTTCACTTTTTAGCGCACGCCGTTTGCATATTTACGTGGGAGCTATGTGCAAATACAATAAACGTGCTCTTCTAGGGTCACCATCACGCTGCTTCTTTACCGTACAATATACCCAGTTGACTTTTTTGTACTTTTCATAAAATAGAAAAAACGGACACTTTTGCCGGTATCTGCCATAAGGTGCAGATTTCTTCGTTTAAAGGAGTTTAAAATTAATAAGGGGCTGTTATAAAAACATTGATGCTCTTACTGTAACATTATCAAAAGTAGCTATAATGCAAATTTAATTACTATGTCATAAGGTGTGCCTTGAGACCATTAGGAACAACCTGAAAAAAGCTGTCTTTGAATATTTTTAAGTTTCATTTTCTAAATATTTATTAACCTATTTTAAAAATGATATGGAGAAAGGTTTTGAAATTATTATTTTATATTATCCCCGAGAAGATAATATACCCCCTGTACTTTAGCTGAACAGACTTTCGAAAGTATCCAGCATTTTATCACCTGGGGTAGGCCGGGAAAATAATCCATCTTGATAAAAACATTGTATTTTAGAACAAATAAGGTGCCCTATCAAAGAAAGATCCTTGATTTATTATGAATTCACTATTATATTCAGGCGCTCCTGGTCGGCATTAAGAACAATTTTCAGAAAAGAAATTAACCCTGTAATTTTATGTGGTGTTCCTGACGTACAATTGTTGCTTAGCACTTACATTGAAATCGATTGTTACTTTCGTCACATTTTTTTTCAGCTAGAGTTAAAATCAGCGTAATATTCCTATTAAGACTATAATTATATTTTTGTCAGGTTTTGGTTTGTTGAGATGATCGAAATTACTCTACTAACCTTTAACCTTGTCTTCCGCTTTCCTTTTGATTCCCAACGCTCTCTCGATGTCTCTTTCTTTCTCTCTCTCCTTCTCTTCATCCCTCTCCCCCAGCTTGCCAGCTGCCTCACCCCCCAGAGGCTGGACCAGGCGAGGGTAGGAGAGCCCGGGTATGGGTAGGGGGTACCACGCCCCGGGGTAGGACGGCATGGACACATAGGGCATGGGGGCGGGGGAGCAGGCTGGGGAAAACCTGGTGGCCAGGTCCATGGCGAAGGGAGACTGGTCGGAGGCACAGGCGTTGGCGTTGCGGAGTATTCTGTTGATGGAGCTGACGCTGGGTATGGTGGTGTCGTCACAGACTCTCTGTGCCAGCAGCTGGTCGCGGATCTCCCAGGCGAAGATGGAAGGGTTCTGCTGTTTTAGCTCCAGGATCTTCCTCACCACCAGAGGTGTGGCCACTTGCTGTGGAGGGACAGGGGCAATTAATATACATCACAGGTTGACTTTGCGTGTCGTTTAACGTCAAACTCAGCTATATTATATATGACATCAGTCTGTAAATAATCGAATCGACAATCAAAATATTGACATTATGAGCATCGAACTACGCAATTTGGATACGATGTCATGCATCAACCAGTTCAGCGAGCCTGACCATCCGATCCCGTTAGTCGCCTTTTAGGACCAGCATGGGTTGCTGAAGATCCATGGATAGGTATGTCCACTGGTTGTAATACATTATGAATGTAGAAAACATATATGACAGTATCTGAACGGATAATGTTTTCAAGGATAGAATGGATGGAGTCGCTAAATGACTTGAGACGTCAATGAGAAATTAATTAACTCCTGTCTTTGAACACACAATGCCATTTAGAAAGTGGCCAAATGTAACAAATGTTATGTTTGGGATAACATTTTCTTAGTGAAGTACAAATTCTAGTACTTTTCGGGTTGGGCCCCATCCGGGATTCGAACCCACACTCTTAGAACGACTATATTTAAACATGTTCAGTGTATCGTTTCCAACAGTAGAAATGTGACGATACGATTAGAAATACAGTAAACTACGTTTATAACAAACACGCTTATAACGAACTGACGGATAGAACGAACTTATTTTTAGTCCCGACCATTTGTTGTATATAGGCTGTATGTATGCTTATAACGAACTACGGTTATTACGAACTAAAATTAGTGGTCCCCTCCAGTTCGTTATAACCGTAGTCTACTGTAGATTAAAGTTACCCTCACCTTTGGCTTGCTACCTCCAATAGAGCCGGGCTTGATGGAACCCGTCTCGTAGTATCTGGTGAGGATCTTGCTGACACACCCATGGGACACAAGAAGCTGGCGAGATATGTCGCATGGCCTAACGCCCATCTGAGCTAGTTCCACGATGCGTCGTCGTACATGGTCAGGAAGTGGACGGCCGTTCACGAAGACCCCTCCCAGTTGATTAACCCCTGTCTGGCCTGAAGGGTAAACATTAAATAGGTAATTAAATGAAGAACATAGGTAATTCATGCAGTACATGTGCATTAAAAGTTCAAAATGTATATTCCATCAAAATGACATTGTTTAATATAGATTCAACAGTATTCACTAGGTGTTCCTCTAGCGAAACATTGAAGATGGTCGATAGTGTAAAGCATAAAACGTCAAACAGCTCCCGTCACACTGCCCCCACATTTGTAAGCAACATGATAGCTGGCATCCACTTGAATACCTGTGTGCAACATCACAACGATGTGCTGAAGGTTCCGTGTGAGAAAAATGATTAGTTTTCTTTGGACACACGGTTCCCACCTGACACAACCATCGCCATCGATCAAAGAGAGTGGTATTTTCATCTGGTAGTTTCACTGATTATAAAACATCCTAGATCTGTCAAGACTAGCGAATGCGTTTTTTGAAAAAAACCGTATTTGAATCTCACCCCAAACGTGGATGTTTTGTGGGCCTCAACTACTTAAGAAGACATTTTATGCTGTTCTGAAAGGAGCAGCATCGCCCACACTAATAATAAAAATATTTTACCCTGACCTTAAATAATATATGTCGATTACGTATGACTGCCTAGGTAAATGAAGCCGTAAATAGCCGTACATTCGACATAGGGAACAAGCTTTTGAAGCTCCGGACTTTCTATGGAAAGGTATTTTATAGAATCGTATTCAACAAACTCACAGCTTGAAACCGGTGGTATTGAATGAGCAACGGCGGAGGATGTCTTAATGAAGCGAGAGATGTAAGACCTACTATGAGTGTCGTTTTACGCCCATAAACACGCGGCACTCAATAGGTCTCCATCTTCCCTTATACCCGCCTGTCGTTTGTCCGCGACACAATCATATGTCTTTTAATTTCTCAGACTTACACTTCGACGAGTACGTTTTAATAACCATACCCGCCTTCCTGGACATATACAATAAGCTCGAATGTTACTGCGGGTGTGCTTGGTGTAATTGTTGGGAGCAGACCAATTGAGAAATTTTCTGCATTTGCTGGTTAAAATACCATCTAGTATTATAGCAACTATGGGTGTGATTTTTACTCTGATCAAAGGTGTGCGTGAATAACGCAGTGTTAACCCCTCTTACTTCGCGATGGCCAATTCAGGAGAACACAGTGCGCCGGTACATTAGCCATGATGGCGTTCGTCTCTGCGCCGGGATAATGAGGAAGCGCATTGTTCGGTTTTGTTTGGTGTGTCTGTGTGAATTCTGTTGTTCGGTGCTGCATTGTACAGTACAAATGCTATATAAGAAGCTACCTACTCAAGTGACAGATGGACGGGGGAATCTCGCATAGTTAAGTCATCGTTCAATGTGTAGCTGATAAAATCTCGTAATTTCCTTTGCAGCGAGAGCGACGTGCTGTTTTATGATGGGAATAGTTAAAGACATGTTGTAACGTGTAGAAGTTTCAGTTTGTTTACAGAACGATTATGTATAAAATAGTGGGCGAATGAGTGTTTAAGTCGCATGTAAAGAAGTATCTCAATTGTTTCAGCGTTGACGCCAAGAAACGACGTCACATAGTGTACTCGTATAGGGAGTTGAACACGGATATTCGGCGTGACGAGCGACCAATTAACACGAAGGTTACATTGGCGCCTCTGAGTAACGTGGAAATGGTAATCAGTGGGATATTCAAATAATTATGATGACATGACAATTATTTCGACAATCTCACTTTTTGACACAATCGTGATGATACATGGTACTGTGACAAGAATATGGAAACAGATGGAAAAAGAGAATCGAAGCGACACATAATGCGACTGACATGTAGTTCTACTGTTATGATAAGATGTACATGAACGCATGTATCTGATGACATTGGAAGAATCTCGCAATATGAAGACTGTTTTACATGAAAAGATCGTGTGATATGGCGATTTGCATCTCCAAGTAATGTTACAAAATCTGCTGGCAGTGGAACATGAAACAATAGAACGTGTGATAAATCGGAAAAAGAAAACTAGTTACAAATCCAAAACGTAAACGCTGGAGAACAAGCAGTCAAATATCCACCGAAAAGGCAAAATAGTGATGACAATTACATGAATGATTCACTATGAAGCATTGTAATCATACATTTTCAATCAATTATTGTAACAAACGTGAAACAGTAGTGTCAAATATTTGATGTCAAGGTGAAATGTAACGATTAAAACTTGACTTCACCAAATACGACAAATGTGAGGAAAAGTGACTTGCATATATCACTGTTTTAAAATAGTGTCTCATAAGCCTAGCTAGGCTGGATGGTATGATAAATTAAATATGATGTATTGTTATTGTTTCATGCCATGTGACACTTTAATAAACTATGTCTATGTCTATCACCCTTTCCGTCTGACCTAATCACAAGTTAAGCCTAGCTTTTTATACCACCAAAAGAGTCAAATGTATTTGTGTCCAAGTTTGAGGTATAAAACAGACTCAATTCACACCGTGGACAACAGGTTACTAAATGCAAAATATACTACCCAACTTTTGATAGGGGTATGTCAGATACAGTTAAATAGACTTGACATATTACGAGAAACAATTTTGTCTACCGTGGAAATATACAAAATATCCCTATCAAAAGTTGATATCTCTCTCTCTCTCGTAACTCCCACATGTTAATATAGGCTTAGGTAGCGCTAAGGCTGTCTTGTACAACGGCACCCAGATTATTGTCAACAAGGTTAAGGAACCAAACTTCACCTGTATGGGGCATGGTTCCTGGCGACTCCACAGTTGTAGGATTTACGTCTCTTCACCTGAAAACAAAAACAAGGGGAATTAAGTAAAATAATCATGCGCAAATCAGACTCTAAACGGTTAAAGCAGGCCCTTTGGTCCATACATAGCTGCTGCTGTACTTGCCTCAACGACTCTAAGGGTCTAGTTCACAGCGTTAGGAGCTATAGGTGCATTCCCGAGCTATTAAAACGGGTGGATTTAACGCGCAGCGAGGCGGCTCCAAGTACCACTCTGATCCCCCACATCCTTGTGAGGTTGTACGATGTTGATGGGAAATATGTACATGTAGATAGACCGATAGCACTTAGACATGGGGCACATGACTAGGTTAAGTTCAAACTCGGAGCGAATATAAATACCTTATCAGATATCGTTACTCACACATGCACGGGTAGCCGCGTTACAAACAAGCGCTTTCTATACGCTGTTGCATATAAATGCGAGTTTTAGTTGACGATAATGTCTTTGGTAAACGGGTGCATTTTTTAGGAGTTTACTCAGTGCAAGTTTTATATTTCGTCACATATAGTGTTATTCTGCACGCTACAGTAGTGAAGGTATTGTTGTGGAGATCACTGTCTGCCCAGTACTTCGTGCATTGTCATGTTTATGTATGTGAGCTGAGGTAAATATACTCCAGCATAATCGCCTACACTGTTTGGGTATATGAATCACCGGCTACCCGATACGCACACGGAGCTTGGGTATATGATAATGATAAACATATGATAATCACAGAAACAGGTTTTTTTTAACCAAAATACACACGAATATCTTATGATAGTATATGTTCTTAGAGAAGATATCAACGGTGGTGTGGTTTGATCAGCATTAGAGGCAACGGTGATGTGATTTGATCAATAATCAAATACAAAACTGGTATCCTTTTCGTGTAAAGGTTTAAGCAAACACATCATTATAATAATTGGAAACTTGTTTCGGGTATGTTTTCCCATGCACAAAGCATGGATGGATAGTTTGAAGTAATTTATCACAACCGTTTTAAATCCCGTTATTAAATTGATCAAATAAAATTAACAAATTTTATACAAGATTATAGTCACTTGTATCAAAGTCTACGTTGTATATATCTGGTGACATTATATCAATCTCCAAATAGCTTTAACTATAATGAAGATATGTCGTCAGTAAATATCAAAGTATTAAAGTCCTTAGCTGCATATATATGTCATGTAATAAATTTAAGAGATGATGACCAAGCTGGAATAATGCTGAGTGTGGCGTACAACAACAAACAACTAATAAACAAACAAGCAAACGTAAGAAATGATATAACAACCGATATAAACAAATAAAATAATACATCTACCCTCCACACAAGTGCTCTGTAGGCATGTGGCCTGACAGTATTTCTGCCGTAAAGACTTGGTTATGGTGTGCGCGCGTCTTTCACTTCAAACATCTACGGAAACGTGACGAAACTCGAAACAAAGAGTGAGTGGTTTAACGCGGCTTTTTAGCAATATTCCAGCAACATCACGACAGGGGTCACCAGAAATGGGCTTCACAAGTTGTACCCATGTCGGGAATCGAACCCAGGTCTTCGGCGGGACGAGCGAACGCTTTAACCGCTACCTGACCACCCCTTCGATACAAAGAAGCAAGCCCCAAAACAAACCTCCGTTACCAAACCACACCTTGACTTAATAGTACTTCGGTAAAAACAGCTACGATAATGTGATACCTATTTGCCTATACTGCCATTATTACCTTAAAGCATCATGGTCTGCAGAAACATATCAATGTATTACCAGTGAAAACATTTGTTATTACATGGTTATTACAAATCTACGGAAACTGTAAATATAAAGACACTGGAAGAAATACACATATTCTGTTTCACAGCTGATGCAGATAATCGAACAAAATAATCAATATAGTCGCATGTGAAATTATTCAATTATGTACATGTTATCAACATTTACGGAATCCTTTTAGAGCGATCTGCTTATTTATTTTGTTCAAATTTCAAGATACCAAGTTGACATTTCAAGATGATATATAGAAATTTTAAGATACCCAAAAAGCAAGTGGCTTTTAAAGGCTTCCGCAAACTTTAGACAGACATATATGAAATATGAAATCTAAGAGATGAGTGAATCGTGTTTACCTCTTAAAAATCGTGTTACCTCTTACAATCAGCGTGACATCTATCAGCGAAGAGGTGGGGAGGAGACACTGATGCAAGATGTTCCCGATGCTACTTACAGGGGATTAAGACAGGGTGTTATCTACTTAGCACAGGAACAAGAAGGCGATCCTCCGCTCCGGAGCGAACGATTAAGGACACAGATTGACTACACGTGCCAAGAAATGACCAAGGCCAGAGGCGATCGTGTATTTCCTTTTGTCCGTGGTGTATGGGACATTCCGAAATTGACACCCTTCTCAAAAGCCTCTCATCGACTCATCACCTTTTTCTGCCGCGGTCAGATCAGAGGGTTCGTTGAAGCAATTACTAGTATTGCAGTAAAATGTTACGTGGATAAGCCGCAAAAGGAACATGTTTCCTTTGTCAAGTCGTTAGTTCGGACTCTTCTGTGGTGAGAATGAAGGATTAGGTCTAAGGAAAAACTTAAGCCTGATGAAATAATCTGTTTGAGAATAAACACGTTTGAGTGAATTATATGTCGCTTCACCGATCACACGGTGTAAATTCGACGAGAGCGTTTGTTTTTGCACGATGAAAGATTACAGTTCGATTGAAACCCCTTTAGAAGCTGCGACACATGCTACCATCTCTCTCTCCTGTTACCACTACACCGAGAATCATTGTAAAGGTTTAAAACAAAATAGAAACCATTTACCTTGAACCAGAAACGACAAATGATTAACTACCTGTTAACAGGCTGTTAAACTTCAACATTAAACAATATTTAAATACAACAACAATGCTCCGAACGTTTTGGCAACAGTTTGTTGACACGAGTTTACCGGAACGTACCACATCAAAGGTGCATATAATGATCAAACTTTCATCAACAACGGCTGTTAGACGTTAACTGATTCAAATTGAGTACTGCAGGTGCAGGATGTGTGTCGTGTAAAACAGAACCGAAGACAATTGTTAACATAACGCAATCTGACCTCAACATTCACTTCATCTACAACCGGCACGTGATCTACATGTATTTTTATAATTTAAAGATAAATTTAGTTACGACAGAATAATTAATAAAAAGAGACTTGGGTTTACTTTCTTAATGTCATTTAACATCAGCAGCATGTAAACCATACGGAAATTATTATAAAATTTGGGGAATTTCATTATATAATTATAGTTTCTGTGTTATTGATGTTCGTATTCACAAGGAAAAGCTGTTGTCCTCTATAAAACAACATGGCATCGGGCCGAGCATAAAGAAAGAACGGGTTTAAATTGGATATGTTTCAAAATATGTTTTGCTTGATGTAAGTGCTTTATTGATTAAGAGGCAACGTTGACAATGTTCAGGTTTCTCACGACCAGTGATAATAAGCAAAGTATTTGAACGTTTAATTTTCGAGAAGGTAAATTTCAACTGTGTCTTACGAAAATATCGTCATCTAAATATAATTATACATTTAGAACATTCAATATTCTGCAACGTCTGAAGCGTTATTCGTCATCACTATAAGATTTTAAGAAAAAAAATACACGAACGGCTACACATGTATGTTGGTGCCCAAAAAAGAGACATATGGGGTTGGCCGGGCATCAACTATAACTTGTGAACCCACCCTTTCTAGTATACAGCCCTGTGTGACGAATCAGTACCACCCCAGTTTCTGGTGGGATGACCAGGAAACATTTGAACTGCTGCAGGAGACGCAACCCGCCGAGTCCCAATACCCGGCGGCGCTCTTACGGGTGTAAGAAACGTTATATGTCATTGTTGTACAACAATAAGGACAATTTCAGATCCGATAATTTGTCTTATTAGAGCAGACTTGTGCGTCCTTTTGTCGGCTTGACGTCCGAGAAGATAGACACCACCGGACAAAGACCGATCACGAGGGAGGCTCCCGAAACAGTTAAGTCATAAAAGGATATAAAAGTTACTTTGGGACAATGGTTTCCCTCCTTAATGACACAATGTATCTTCGCCTGACAGCAATATATACAATCCGGTGCATCTTAAGGAGGGAATCATAGGATTACTAAACCAAAATAAGAGCAAGTTTAATACTTAATCATCTTCAATTAACGCCAGTTTAGGGGGAACAGATTGCTGCAAACCTGTGTTCCCTAACACTCTGAAACAAATCGATGGAACTGCTGTGAGACTCATAGACGACCAAGCGAGGTGTTAGCCAGCTAAGGGGGTGTCGTGCTCGCGTCTTCCAGCGGGACGTTGGGCAGAATATGGCTTAATAACCACGTCTGAACGAATTCTGAACCATTTTTTCTTTGATTTCTTTAGAATAATCAAACCTCGCTGGGTAAAAATAATTACAGATATAACGGTTGATAAACCCATGTTGTTTTACCACTGTGCTGACGGAATCCCACCAAGCGGGTTGAAATACTGATTATACAACGAGGTGAACCATTTCAATACTTGCAGTCTTGAGAAAAGTTGTGAGATTTTCGGAAGCGATTATTTCACAGCTTGAAATTTTAATGACACCCAAGGTGTCATTAAACAATATGGTATTTGTTCCCTCACGAACTGTGTGTGTCGGATACAGCGATTTCAATTTTACAACTATTTAATAGCTAATTTCAAACAGATTTGAACCAAGATAGTTTTGTCAGCAATACCATCCAATTCCAGTGCCGCAACATGTAGGCTTGCGGGACAAGTACTCACTGAAAAACAATCAGTTCTGTAAGACCAGAGTGTACATTATTGGAACAGTTTTCGATAAATTGTGGCGCGATCACCGGTTGTAAAAATAAAACAAATGTGTGTGGGGGGTATACAATATGTTCCATAAAGGCAAGAAATAGTAAAACAGTATCCGTCGAATAATCTAATCTGACATACTGAAGGGAGTCACGAGAACGGATGAAATCTGAACATTCTGAATTTAAACATGCATGGTGTAATTTGTTTAGGGCATGTAAGGCAATATGGTATTAACAATCATTTTGTCTGGGACTGTGCGCATGCGCGACGATTATTTAGTTTTAAGGAAAATTAAAGAACCATCATTTGCGGGAACAGTTGTAAAAACTTTCTAAACAAAGTAAATTTAAAGTTAGAATGAAATTAGTTACAAAGATTATTTTAACAGCGATAAAACAACGTTATCGGCATATATTTATATATGTCGGGGTACCAATACAACTGTGCCGGTT